TGGATTGCACAGTGATCCGTACTATGCCTCTCGACTCTTGAGTTTTACGTCATTGATCATACCAACTGACAACGCGCCTTTGCTTACATGAAAGTTCAATCGCTTAGAATGATTCCGAAAATAAAAGTTTGCTGTGGCACAAGTATCTAACACGGCGCGGGATTTATCGGATTACGCCCGCGATCCCGGACATATACCACGGCACTCGCTAGTAATTGTGGTGCGGGCGTGTATGACACCATAGCATGCCTTATCTTCGCGGTATTAATCGACTCGGCTATTCATGCGGCCCGTGTATCTACGGCCTTAGAAGTGGAAGTTCGATTCGTCACCGGATATTGGTCTAAATGCAGAAGAGTGTTATGTTTCTTTTGGCAAATTGTACAGTTCGAAAAAGTGCAGGGGCTGTCTCTATGTGAGCGCAAGCAATTGTAACAAACCTTCGCGTTTCTCACTGTTTCGATACGTTTAGGTATAGGCAATTGTTTGAATTTGTCGCACAAATACAAGGGATGCCGTTTCGTCTTGCATGCTATGCAATTACGCGCCGCGCTTACGACACGCGCTCGATTCGAGGGACGACTTCGTCTTTTTTTGCTCGAGGGTTCTCCCCTGTTTCCCTCCATGTCGGTTACCTTCGCTCTCTCGCGTCTCGAGACGCAAACCGCGGTTCTATATAAGAACTCGTACATCTGGTCGATCTCTGGAAACTCGTCTCTTTCGAGAGTCGCCTCCCATTTTTCCAACGTTATCCTTGGTAGCTTGGTCTCTAGCAAAGGTACGATCATCTCGTGTCCGACCGAAACTCCCAAAGAGTTTAGCGACGCAACGTGTTGCTGCGCGTCGTCCGCGAGACTGGACAAACCGTTCGTTGTTTCTTTGTCTAGCGCGGGCAAATTTGATAGCAGAGAGAGATGCCGCGATATCAAGATCCTCCTGACCTCATATGACCGTTCTAATAAGCTCCAGGCCTTGGCATAATTAATTCCGTCAATTTCGAAAATCCTAATCTTGTTCGCGGCTTCGCCAGTTAACGCCGATCTAAGGTAATGCAATTTATCTATTTCCGCAAGGTCCGTTCGCGAGCCTATCATACTGTAAAACGCATTCTTGAATGATAACCATCCCTCGAATCTACCATCAAACTTTGGTAACGGCGTTTTCGGGCAATTTAATCCGCCGTTTCTCAACCGGCGGTACGATGCCACCGCGCCGTACTTCTTCGTTTGATACGCTGGTGCTCGGTTCGGACGTATCTCCCGACGGCGCATTTCCCGGACGTAAAATACTCTCAATTTTTCCCGCCAATGCGTAAAATCGCTCCTGGATACCCTCGAACTCGACCCGATGATTTGCGTTAGGATCTAATACCGCGAGTTCATCGTTGTACTCTTCGAAGGCCCGATATAATTGCGTTAAACGCTCGTTTCGCAACCTTAACGTCGCGTTATCAATTTTCCCCCCTTCGACGATATTGGACAAGTTGGTTATTTGGGATTTCAGGGAAGTTCGTTTCTGAACGAGGAATTTGATTTTGTCCGCCATCTCGGCATGCGACGGAATGTAAATGCTGGGAAAGAATGACTTACTCTTACGCCTGTCGAGTACGATTGCACAGGTCTCTCCTTCGGCTGACTTGGAAGACCCGCTCTTAGTGG